AACAAAAGTTCCACAGAGGTTTTACTTAGAAGATCTACTAGAAATCGGCGTTCTTCATGGTGTGTGTGGTTAAGTTTTGGTATTTTGAATGCATGGTGATTTAGATAAAGAAATTTATATGGAACAACCAGAGGGATTTGAGAAGAAAGGCAATGAGAATCTTGTGTTCAGATTGAATAAAAGTCTTTATGGGTTGAAACAGGCACCGAGGCAATGGTACAAAAAGTTTGATTCAGTTATGGGGGAGCAATGATTCAAAAAGACTACTTTCGATCATTGTGTATTTGTGCAGAAGATTTCAGATAATGAATTTATTATACTGTTACTTTATGTTGATGACATTTTGATTGTTGGCAGGAATATTTCAAGAATTGACACGTTGAAGAAACAGTTGAGCAAATTCTTTGCCATGAAGGATTTGGGGATAGCGAAGAAAATTCTTGGAATTCGTATAGCACGAGACAGAGCATCCAAAAACTGTATATGTCTCAGAAGCATTACATAGAGAAATTGCTTGAAAGATTCAACATAAGCAAGGGCTAAAGCAGTAAGTTCTCCTCTATCAAATCACTTTAAACTAAGTAGCTAGCAGAGTTGTTCTACAGATAAAGAGAAGGAATAGATGAGTAGAGTTTCATATGCTTCAGCAGTTGAAAGTTTGATGTACGTCATAGTATGTACTAGACTGGATATTGCCTATGTTGTTGGTGTTGTTAGTCGGTTTATGTCCAATACAGGAAAACAACATTGGTAGGCAGTAAAGTGAAGCATGAGATATTTGTAGGGTACTTCCAGTTTGGAGCTCACTTTTGGGAGTGGAAACCAAGTTCTTGCCGGTTACACTGATTCAGATATGGTAGAAGATTTAGATAACCGAAAGTCTACTTCTGGATATTTGATGACATTTGCAGGTGGTGTAATGTCATGGCAGTCAAGACTACAAAAGTGTGTTGCACTTTCTATGACTGAGGCAGAATATATTGCAGCAGCAGAGGCGTGCAAGGAGATGTTGTGGATGAAGCGATCTATACAGGAGCTCGGTTTCAAGCAACAACAGTATGTGATATTCTGCGATAATCATAGTGTTATTCATCTTGGTAAGAATTCAACTTTTCATTCGAGAACGACACATATTGATATGAGGGTATCACTGGATGAGAGATGCTCTCAATGATGGACTGTTTGAACTTGAGAAGATACATATTGATCGTAATAGATCAGATATGTTAACAAAGAATCTACCAAGAGAAAATCTCTTGTTTTGTCGTTCCGTTGTTGGGATGACAATTTCTTTCACACAGTGAAAATGGGGAGATTTGTTGGGTATTTTTCACATTGTGTGAAATCCCAACATTTTTATGGCTCACATGGGCCATTAACCTTTATGTTTTAGATTTTTTAAAATGTTTTTGTTTAAAAGGGGAGATCCAGCCGCCTACCACATATCAATAGAGAGAAGGAAAAAGGAACAGCACAAAAATCGAGGAGAGAAAATCAGAAAAGAAAAAGAATCCGTACAGTATCGTTTTTTTACACTATCGGAGGTCGTTCCATGGTCCGACCAGGGTGAAATTTTGACAGCGTGTTCACAACATGAGGGTCTTCAATCTGGACGGTGGAGATTTCTTTTGGAGCTGCCTACTATCAGATATAGTGAGTAGTTGGTGCCACTTTCGAGTGATATCTTTCTAATTTTCTTCTCTAGTTTATTCCCTTGTTTGTCGAGATTTATTGTCTCGGGATATTATTATTGTATGTCTCTAGTTATGCTAGGGAGAACTTGGTGTAACCCATTATTGATTATAGTAGAGATTTTGACTTCGGTCCGTGGTTTTTTACTCCTCACATTGAACGGGTTTTTCCATGTTAAATTGGTTGTGACTCGTGCTTCTTGAATTATTATTCTTACTTGCTATTTCCTATTTGGTTCACACAAGAGGAGGTAATTGGTTCATAAAATTAAGTGTTTATCCAAACAAGTTTATATATATTTTTATATTAGTATGATGAAGTATGGCCAATTTTTACACGTGGATATAAAAGATAATAAAACTTGAAATAATATTGTATTTTTTTTTCTTTTGATAACAATCGTAGTTTATTTTTGGACAATTAATTCTTTACAAAAATTTACTTAAAATTTAAAATTCTTTTGTTGTTTTTGATTTATATTTGATGTCAAGAAAAAAAGAAAAAAATCAAATAGAAATATCTTTAATGGTTAATTTTAGAAACTACTGTTTGATAACCATTTTAGTTTTTAGTTTTTGGTTTTCTATTTTAAAAAATAAAAACCATACATGTTTGATAACAATTTTTTATTTTTTATTTTTAAAAAACAGAAAACCAAAACATGTTTAGTAACCATTTTTAGTTTTTTGTTTTGAAAAAGTTAGAAAGTTGAAAATACACATTAGAGAGAGAAGATTTTATGTAGGCTAGAGATGACAATGGTGTAGGTGCGAGTGACGATGCTCTTTCCCATTCTCGTGCTTGTAAAAATTTTTAGTCTCCATCTCCACCTCGTTCTTGGGTCCGAGAGATGTTCTCGAGAAAAATTATCGGTTTTATAATTGTTTTTAATTATTTTTATAATTGAAACATAAAAAAATGTAATAAATATATATTAATTACTTAAAAAATGGAATCGTGGACGGGAACGGGTCGAGACATGCATTTCCTATTTTTAGGACCCGACCCTGCGTAAATTTTTTCTTCCCCTAATGTAGAGACATGAAAATACAAGTTTAGAGAGATGTAAATAAATTTTTGGAAGATAAATTTTAGAGAGATAAATAAAAAGATTTAGAAAAAAAAAATAGTGAAAGAGAAGTTAAAGACAAAAAGAGAAAAATTGTAGAGAACAGAAATAAAGTCGAGAGGAAAATATATGTTAAAGAAAAAAAAGAAATTATAAAGAAAGAGAAAAATTAGAGTGGAAACAAATTTAAAGATAAAAACAAGATTCAAAATATAATTTTTAGAGAAAATAAATAAATACAAAGATAAATAAAAGTTACAGTGAAAGAAAATTGAACGAGAAAATAAAATATAATTTTCAAACGAAAATAGATTACGAAAAGAAAGAAAAGTTATAAAAGATGAAATTTTAGAGAGAAAAAAATTAAGAAAAAAATTAAATTTTTAGAGAGAGAAATGAAACTAGTCTGTTAGAAAGAAAAACAAAAATACAAGAAAATTTGGAGAGAGACAAATAATAATAAATATTCAAAATATAAAAATTTTAGAAACATAAAAATAAAGTTTGTAGAGGGAAATTTAAAAATAAATAAATTTTAAAGTGAGAAATAAATTTTTTAAAGATAAATATGAGAAAGAAAAAAAGTTGGGTATCAGGAGAAAAAATCAGATTTTGAAAAGCAAAAACCTGTTTTTGAAAACTATTTTTTTTTATTTACATAGAATTTCAAAATGGTTTTTGAAAAACAAAAAATAAGTTATCAAACAACCTTGTTTTTGAAAAACAAAAAACATAAGTTATCAAACAATCTTGTTTTTTAAAAACTAAAAACCAAAAACTGAAAAAAAAATGGTTATCAAACAAGCCCTTTTCAAATTTGTACATATTTTGATTCTCATTAATCACAAGATTGCTCTCAATTATTATTGTTTTATTTGATTAAATTTATTTTTTATTTAAATGATTATATTTGATTTTTATAACTTTTGCCATATTTGGATTTCAAATCATTTTCGACACAACCTAAAAAATTTAATATCTTTCTCATATCACGAGTAATACCAAATTCCTCCTTTTGTAATTAAAATTTAAAAAATTTATCTTTCAGCGTATTTCCTTTTTTTTCCATCTTTTTTTCAAGCCTTTTTTTTGCAATACTATGATAAACATATATTTATCTAAATGGTTATATAATATATATTGTTTATTATTATATAATATTATGTTATAGAATATATTCCAACTACCATTGTATAATATAATTTTATCCAATAATTTACAGGATGATAAATATATATACTACTCAAAATGTTATTTACTACTTTTAGTTCTACATAAATATTTAGGTTATGTAATATATAAATTTTGGTGGTATATACTCAAATATTAGATATTAGGTTATATAATATGTACCTCGAACTATTGTGCGATATATCTAAAATCTAATCAACTCCCTAATATCTAATCAACTCCCTAATGCGATTTTAGGTTTTCAAATTAGAGATTTTAGGTATTTGGGGATTTCCAAACAAAAATCACGGGTTTCATGAAACATGCATGTACGATTTTAAGGATTTCAAAATAAAAATGAGAAAACCGCCCAAATTCTAAATTTATTTCATATTTGATTTGATTTTTTATCTTTATTTAACATATATTAGAAAGGAGTTATGGCTAAATTTTATAATTGGATTCCATCTATAATGGTTCAATCTTTAGACAATAATATAAATTGTTAAAAATTTAAGCTCACCGTGTATCGTATAATTTGAATCCTAAAATATGCTAGTTGTGTATTAATCTCAAAATAAAATTTTCAACAAGAAATTAAAACACGTATTAAAATATTATATATTTTATTTTTATTTAAAAGTATATACTTTCGGGACAAACCTGGATTTATTAAAAGAAAACACGACTTGGAATGTAAATTCACAATAATTAAAGTCCAAAATATTTACTTTAAATATTTATTTTTTCGTATCTTGTACATAAATAAAAATAACAATCCTCTCCTGTTACTAGCTCAATGACATTTTCTCAATAATTTTTTTAAAAATGTAGTGAGCAAGTATGCATATATAACACATCTGTTTACAGTAAGTTTAAAAATTGGGTCATAATTACAATATAATTCGGATAATGCTGTCGTGATAAATCAAAACTTGATAAAAGTACATAATTCAATGTACAATATAGAATTTCCTACCCACAGTATATATTGATCATACCAAGAACTAAAATAACACGAGTAGAAGAACCAACATAAACATACTTTAAAAATTAACGATTGAAAATATAATTTAAACGTTTATTCCATCATTTAATTGAGCAATGCGTCAAATTTAATCACACATCAAACATTTTAATAGTGGATTGAAACAAGTAATGAATGGGCCAAGTGAAATTGCAATACCTATCACAATTATTAGGATTTGAACAAAACAAAATAAAAATAAAAAAAATACAATTTTGAAATGAATAGCTATCTTAGAGAAAGAATAGCAAATTAGCTATGATGGTAATGAAGAGGAGCACAGACACTGCACCAGCTTCGACAGCAGCATTTGGCGTTCTTTCAGATTCTGGTAAAACGTTAATAGCAAATTTCATGCCTGCATTGCAGTCGTTTCCAGCAGTAGAGATGAAATAGTGACGGCCAGGACGATCAAATGAAATGAAAATGATGAAGTCAAAAACTATTCCTGACTTGACGCATCCATCAAAATCCACTTGAGATTGCGGCTGTGCAATGGTATGCGTCCCATTGGCTTTGGATCTGAATACTAAACAAATAAAACACAGGTACATTTGAGTAACAAAAAAGAGAAGCCAGTTTGAGAAGTACTAAAGATAGACAGAGATAGTTGACTTACTGAGCTTATCGTCGACAAAGAAAGTCCTATTGCGAGCCCAGTCGGAGAAGAATGTGGGGATCGGGGGTAGGTTCCAACCAAAATCGCCTCCAACGCGGTGGTCCACGGCAACGACAACGTGTAGGAGAGCTCCAATGAAGAAGAAGCAAGCAAGGGAAGGGCTCATGGTTGTAGTCATATAGTTTGGTTGATGAGTTGAGTTTAGAGGATTATTGATGAGAAGAATAATGGGAGAGGGAGTTTATATAGAAGTAGAAGGTGTGGGGGCAATTGGGTCAAAGGAGGGTGATAGTTTACCAAAGTTGAATGAATTTTGGATATTCAAATTTCAAACCACGACGCCCAATGCTTTAAACACTCCAACTTGCATGTGGACAAAACGCGTGGCTGCTTTATCTTCTGTTTTCAGAATACATGTGAAAGAGATGGGCGTCCATGGATTTCTTCTTATTTTAATATCTTTTCTTCACCCACATTTTGTTACATTCGCCAAGTGTATATTATTATAATATTTCTACATTTCTTTAATATTTCTTTTTAATATGTTTTCTGCACCCATCTTTTAGTTTTTTGTTTTTCTTTTACAAACTTTCGTAGAAAAACTGGACTACAAATAAAAACAATAAAATTGGCATTTGGCAATGTAATGTTATTGTTTCACAGCGATATTAGATTTTATTTAGTAATTTTAGCTTTTAAGTAATATTGCTTCAAAAAAGGCAAAGCGACGCTAATTAAGTAGTAGTTGGCATATATCTCGAATCAAAAGGCTGTGAGTTCGATCCCCACCCCTACATGTTGTACTAAATAAATATATAAATATATATATATAACCTTTCCCACCATGTACAAAATATATATATATATATATTTCTTTTTTGCTTAAAAAACGGAGGTGGAACATGTAGGGAGATTCTTTCTTTTAGCCAAACTAAAGGGGGAATATAATTGACGTGGGACTTGGACCTAATTAATTCTATTCGAAATCAAATTCCAACTTCTAACGTTTTTTTTTTAATGTTCTTTACTTCATTTTTTTATTTAGGAGGCATTTAAAAAATATTTTAATTCTCTTTGAAAATAATTATTTAATTCTAGACCTATTAATTTAATTAATAAAATATTCTTATGGCTAATCCATAAATATTTAAATTTTCAATTAACCTATTTAGACCTTGAGAGAGAGAGACTTACAAGCTTTGATTTTCTTCTAGAGATTAGCGTAAAAGAATATGATTTGCTTTGATATTTTCAGAGGTTAACCCACTTGTTATGGAGCTTTCTTTTGAGTTTTATCCTGAAAGTTTTCTAATTTCACTTTCAAGCTCATCTCATTTTCTCTTTCTTATTTTTATGATCCTCGTGTGTAACAAGTGGGGTCATGTTGATGGTTTGAATACCTCTGTGGGCCAAGCTGATTGGGGCGCTCGTGAGGGTTTCATGGTTGATACACAACAATCCAAGCGTATTGACTAAACAAGCATCTACATACTCGAATTCAATTATATAGTTGGTTATACTCAAAAGGGGAGAATTAGAAAGATTCCCTTGGTAGTCAAATATCACGAGTAGACATAATACTCACTTTACTCAAGGCCAAAACCCTCGACAAGTTTAGTGTGACCAATCAAACTTAAAAGATTCTCCCCAAGGCATCCTAAATTCTACACCAACGGGTTTGCAGAAGGCAAAGGAAAGATAAACCCCTCTATTCAAAATTGAATCATTCAAAACTTATCTCAAAGACCGAGGAGGCGCCTATTTATAGGACAAGGCCAATAGTCTTCACCATAAATTTCCCAAAATAAAATAAACTTAAAAATCTAAGAAAAATAAAGTGCAAAATAACCTTCCTAAAATTTGAAAATATTACTTGCCTAAAATGCGAAATAAATCATTCTCTTAACAAAAAGATATAAAATTAAATCTAAAACAAAAAAAATGAAGACAACACATTGTCTTTAGATAAAATAAGGAAACAACCTTCTTTAATTGACAAATAGTTGTGCTAATGAGGTAAAGCGTGCAGGCGTGCAAGGTTGGCGGCAGGTGCACGTGGGCACGTGCTGGTAGGTGGGCAGTAGGCGGCAAGGGTGCACATGCGAGCACGAGGCGTACGCGCGTACGTGGGGTTTGCTGTGAGGTTAACGGCTAGATTTGGTGCGCGGTTGGCAGGCCATGCCCTTACGGTAGCCAAATCCTTTAGGTATGGTTTTTTTCTTTTGGTTGCTTGTTTTCAAACTCCCTATTTCTCTTAAATCTTGTTGGACCTTCTTGGTTCTTCAATATCATTAAAATATGCTCAGGATCCAATAGAACTTCCTCTTTTTATGGGTATCTCCTCTTGATGCTCCTATTTGTTAATGTATGTTGACTCTTGGAGCATTTAGACAATTATGTCCTTAACTTTCTAATGCAAGCTCATCCTCAACTTGTGTTTTCCCTTTACGAGGATCCCTAGCGTCTTGGGTATGTCAATTATTTGGTTCCCTTCTTTAGTGAGTTAGTTGACCCCTGCTTTATCTCGAACCATTTGCTACATATGATCATGCAATTTCCTTACTTGGGCTTGATGAGTGGCCATCTCACCATCATTCCTCCAACGAGTGGGAGTTTTTGTGCCTTCCCAAGCCGCACCTCATCGTGGGGTTTGGATATGTTTATGGTGATGCTCCTCCTCATGGCCCACATTAGATTAGTGGGGGAGGTTGGCGAACTCTGTATCTTTCATAGTGAGTATCTTAGCTTGTAGAGATAGAACATTTCTAGACCAGTGTCGTTCCACATGGAATGCGCCAAATATTTATGCTAGATTTCCTTTCTTACAGGCTCAACCTCAGATATCCCGTCACTTCACTGCCTTTGGACACGAACCTTCCATGCGAAATATTATTATCAACAACTAACTTAAGTATATTTTAAGTTTCCATACCTGAAGTGCAAGACGTATGAGAGAACTAGTAGCCTTGTGTTACAGGGAGGATTATCCATCTCCATATCAAGCTCTTCGCCTTGGGACCCAACCTATTACATACCGCCCCAATCATAAGATTCGGAGGACTAGCTATCGCTGTGCCAGTTAATGAAAAAGAAGGGCAAGTAGCCTGTTAAAGAACCAACTCCCAAATAAAAAGTAGCCAAGAAATCATGTGCACAAAGTGCTTTTACAGCGGGCCTTCGAACTCATGGCCCTAGCTCGTGGTGCTGTGGATAGTCATCCCATGAGGAACCTGAGGAGTCCTCTTCTCGTCCTCCTACTCCTATGTCTGAAACTGATGCCGAAACACACCAATAAAAGGTAATGAAACGTTCTTCTTCTAGAATAAAGTCTTTCTTGAAGTTGCATTCAAAATCGATGTGGATACTCTCTCATACTTCTAGAAGCAATTGGTTCAAGAATGAAAATGGTAGAAGCTCTTGGTCGCCTTTCTTAGGGTATTTTAGAAAACATTGTTCAAGAATTCTATGCAAGCGTTCTTCTCAAATGTAACTACAAGGTTAGAGTTTGAGAGAAAAGTTGTAACGTCCTAGGATTTTCAACATCTCAAACGGAGACCGTTACTAAAACCACCTAAAAAGTTCCATTTGTACTAGAGAATTAAACAACCAGCAACACAAAATAATGATAGATTCTCACCATGCTTTCACTCCGCTACTCTGATACTAGAACTTTAATCAATAATCAATATGAGATAAATACAGAGAACCAAGCCTAAGCAACTAACTGTGACGCCCGAGAGGAGGGGTACATGAATGAACCGATACCACATCCGAATGAGAGGGATCCTGAGATTATTGAAGAATGGTCAATAAATGGTTAAAAGGAATTGATAGTCACTACCTAAACCAACAAGGTGTACCTTCCTTTTCGGTGGCTCAATCGTAAGAACTTCAAAGTTAAGCGTGCTTGACTTGGAGTAATCTTAGGTTGGGTGACCTCCTAGTTGCTTTAATAGGAAGCATGTGAGTGAGGACGGCTTAGAACTTGACGGTGGCGCAGCCAGGTCGCAGGGGAATGCCGGGGCAGAGAGGTGCTGAACCCGGATTCCGAATCCAAAAATATCAATTTTATGAACAATCGTACACCTAAACTCCAATGACAACAGTGACGCGTTTAACAATAACATAATCATGCTCACAGTCACGGCACGATGGCAAGACAATTAAATAGATAGACAGCGAGAGATAAAAAAACAATAACTTGACATTTACATACAACAACCATGCGTCGGAACTACCAAGATACCGCCCCCCCTCCTTTTACAGTACTTGATGTCCATTTATTCCCAAGGCCTAGCACCACTCTACTTTAGTCCTTCAAGCTTAACTCCTCGAGTCGCATTGGCCTTTGACATTTATCACCAAGGCCTCAATACTCCTCTACAGAAACTTGATGTGGCCTTAACTGTGCACCGATCCTTGCTGTTTATCCCCAAGGTACCGATGACTTCCCAGCGTATTGGTCATTGACATTTATCCCCAAGACCCCAATACTCATTTACAGAAATTTGACGTTCGACATTGTCATTTATTCCCAAGGCAACTACTCAAGGCTTTGAACCTCCAAGCGATTTATATGCATTTTCAGTTCAGACTACCCATAGTTTAACGGACTGCCAACCCGTCCCTTCACCCTTCACCCTTCACCACTCCCACTAGCCCTCCCAAGACCACCTACAAGTATATTTCCCACATTCCAATTCACTGCACAGTTCACAAGCATGCTTTTCTTTGTAATAAACAAGTCACCACCTAACAGCTCACAACTGAAACAATATAAACTAATTATCAGTTTAACAACGCGAGCATTTCATTTACAACATGTTTGCAAAACGTCATGAGCCAGTTACTTTTAACCACAACAATTCAGAATCTACTAGTCACCT